TGGACTAAACATAACTAAAGGATATTGACAAAAGAATCGACATACCAATATAGAAAAACCATGCAAGCCACAACATGATCCTCTACAACACCATCTGGTAAAGCAAATTTATCATTGCTAAATCATCATCCAGTGAAGAAAAAGTCATAATCGTCGACAAAGTCTACAAGCAATTATTAGTTGCAAAGCAACCAACAATCACCTTTCAACTTGCCTTCACAAGATCTAAACACTAAACTCATGCCATTAAGTCATATACTTGTCCAACATGAACATAATACCTCAGATATGAGATATAGGAATATGAACAAGTACGAATTAAATAACCACTTGAATCCAATAAAATTGCAATAAACTCACAAATATGTCTAGCCAATAGCTCTAAGCATGCCTTGAAGAACCTAGCTAGGCATGATCAACACTCAATCGAAACTAAAGTAAAGACCATAAGATAAACTTATATTAGTACACAACCTCCTCATAGACCTCCTCGGGTATTAACATCTCAACCTCAAACAACTAAGTTGAACTTCACTATCTTCCACAAAGGCATAAGGCCACCAAAACCAAGTCAAAATCAGTGAGAGTTTACTGCTCTCATAGAGTTTAACAAAATGCAAGGTGCAACTTGCCACCAAGCTATAAAACCCTGAGTTTTGGAGTTTTCAGAAGGTCACCTAACCCAGTACTATTTAAACCCAAGGACACTTAATCCTAAATATCCCAAAACTCTTAACTGATTGGAAAAGGGGGTGCATTCTTGTTCATGGGCCCTTTCCCTCTATATTTGAACCCTATGGATCGTCTCTCGAGTTGTTCTCTTTGGTTGCTTACACAAACACAATGCTATAAAAGAAAGGCACAAAAGTCACCTTTTTTAGAAAAGTGCAATGGCCACTTTTTTACACCAACGTCAGACTCTATCCAACTCAATTGCCTTAGCCCTAAAATTTAGCATCCCTTTTGGGCTACATTTTATAAACTACCTACTAATGTCTAAGCTAACCAATGTCAACTCCAACCCCTTCACTAGTTTGTACTAACTTTTACAAAAATAGAATGGTTTTCGAACAAAATGATTAATAGATCAGCTATTAAAAAAGTTTAAGAAAATTTATGGAAAGTATTTCCATCATAGAGAAAGAATGACTCTTAGTCTAGGAATGCAAACTTTCAAGACTCAACTAACTTCCTCTTACCCACAACTTCACATAGATTCACCTCAATATAAATTCTTATGACCCAATAACATGTTTAAGCATTAAATTTCATATCCATTTTTCTAATATCTAACACCAACATCCGCAAAAATGCAAAATAAACATCTAAGGTTTGATCAAGAAAACCATATCTTTGGATATTTATATTGCATTAACACTCTTCTTCAACCACCTTCAAGATCCAATGTAGAGCCAAAACACTAATAAAAAAATTGACATGTAAAATCAAGCTTGGCATCACAGTTGTTATTAACAAACTGTTAGAGCCCCCACTTGATTCTCCACTTCCAACTTGAATAACCACCCCTAGTTATGCCTTTTGATTCCTATGGTTCAATTTTATCCCTTTACTACTTGCTTTTTAGCCTCATACGTTTCCTTCAGTCATTTTTCTTCAGACTAGAAGGATAGCTTTGCACTTTCTACCATGCCTTAGCAAGTATTCATAGGGATGAATCCACTCGGTAGCCTAGGGAATGGTTCTTCAATCTGGGTATGCTCATCTTGTAATCCCACACACTGAGATTAACATTGTTACGTATGAGTCTTTATATGCCCATGACTAACCTTGCCAAAATCCCTTTTTGGTTTTGTCCAATTCAGATAAAAGGACTTCTTCCATCTTTGCAACCTTGGACGTTTAGATAGCATCTCATATTCATTGTTCGTTAGGGATTTAATCCCTTAGGCCTTATTTAATGCCCTCATGACACCAAAGACCACTTTCTGGTGTTTTACAGTATTTGGGTGTCCCAATAATGGCCTTCTTTAACAATGAGGATTCCCTTTACAACATTAACTTATTATATCACAACATGAGCAATTTATCCTCTATAAAGGTATGTCTAACTTCTTTATCCTAATAAGAAGTCTTAGGTAATCAGTCTCTACCAGTTTAATCACTTATTTTGCACTTTTTTACTTAATTGCTTTATAGTTGTCAAGTCCTACAACTCATTGTTAGAGCTTCTACACCTCTATTATTTTGGGTCACCACACTCTAACTGCATACCTCCTAGCTTAGGCTATGCCATTCCCATTTCTATTAAGATTTGTTTGGGAGGGGGTTCTTATGAACCTGCCAACATGACCTCAAGGTATCCCACCTTAGGAAATAACTCCGAGCACCTTTGTCACTCATATTTGCAATCATAATGTACTTCTGAACAAACGCATTAACGTAATGTATGAGGTCCCCTCGCTGCTTTAATGTAGCGCACGTATGATCCTCCCCATCCTTCGTGAGGTACAACACACCTCAGTCTAAATGCTTCCACCAGTCCTCTAGGACCATTCCTTGACTCCACTCGAGTCATCTAGCTTTTTGGACTTCATTAATCTAATGACCTATAATGTTCCATTTTTTGAAGTGCCAGCTCGTTAGAATACAACTTCTTGTATTCATGTGTTACCTATAAGGACCATTCTTGCAAGTATTACTCCGATATTTTATTATTCTTTATTCCATATGAGCTACCTTTGCCCCTTAGAACTATTTGTTTATGTGATAAGAATACCAACTCATCCTCTAAGTACACCCCCAATCCCTTGAGTTGTTCTAGCATTTATTAAGGGTAGTCTTAGCTACCATTTCAAGGACTTGTGTCCTTTTCCGTATTTGACCTCCCACGTTCATTAATTATGAGGATAATTTTGTGACTCCTTTATTATTTTAGAGTCTTTATCTTTCCCGTGATCCTAACTATAGTTACTTACCACAATTACATTAGCTAGTTTGCTAAGTCAAACGCTCATCTAGATCACATCCTCAACTCTCAGAGGAAAACTTTATACTGTTCCCAAGATTCTGAAGTTGTTCCATTATTGGCCTCTTTTCTATCTACCACCTCACCTATAAGTTCACACATAAACTGTAGTGGAGAGCCATGTCTTCCCAACCTACTACTCCTTAATGATAAGTCCACTCCTAGGACCTTCCAATGCCAACACTAGTGGTGATATACTTGAGCACTATTAAAAGTTAGACTAAAGAACAACTTTGATACCAAATTGTAAGTGACTAATTTTTCCACTTTACTTTAGTCACTTAACCACACCTCCAACCACTTGGAGGAGTCCCATTCACAACCTCCATAAGTCTAATTTAAGACTTGGGGCTTGCTAACCCCGAGAATGGCATCCATACCACTCAACCTTTGCACTTGGTCCAAGTGCTCCACGTGTCCGATCCCATGACTGAGACTCCAAGTTACCACCGATATACCAGTCTATTACATTAAGGCCATACCCATTCACCTTAGTCACACCGGTGGTCTAACACCACTTACAGCACAGTCCCATCTCTCAAAGACTAGGCCATCCGTCCATGAGTGATCAACCTAAATCCACTCTTTAGCATCTTTAGGATGCCCATAAACAAGGGGAATAACCTTCCCCAATATCTCTTTTCCAATCCCCACCAAGTCCCTTTCTGTCCATGGCCGTGTTCACCAACACTATTATTGGATCAAGGCTCACAGACCCAACCACTAAGTCCCACTGTCCACTGGGACTTCCTCACTGTATAACTGTATCTTTGGTCACCACACCAAAGAACTACTCCTCCTCTTTTCCACAATCTAGGATTTTAGGACAACATTTTGGAATATTGTGGCCCTACATGAGCCTTATGGGTACTCTCCCTGCCTTCTGCCTTTGGGTGCTCTAGCCATGGGCTTAGAGCGAGGTTCCATTGAGCCATGCCAGGTATAGTGTCACCCATGCTTGGACTAGAAGCATCGACCATTCGATCTCCTGAGGGAACTAGAGTTGCCTCTTGAACACTTCACTAAGTTACCCCACTTATCAGTTTGTATTCACTTTAGTTTTGGACTTCCCAGTGGTTAAGTTATCACCCAACACCTGGGCACAACCTTCCTAGGCCAAACTTAGCTTTCCTAGCCAAATTGGCTTAACTGTGCTCCAATCCCCACACTCTCCCTACTATACTTTTGAAACCCCTTGCAGCTGCCCCCCTGTGTAGGCTCAAATCGGGTGTCTTCAGCCACAGATCCAAGCGGCTGGGGAATCTTTTCTCTCTGCCTTTGAGAGTGGCAATCAATTTCTGGCGGAATATTGGCAGAAGGAGGAAAAACAGCTGCGGAAGGAAAAACAGCAGCTGCGGAAGAAAAAATTACAGCTGCGGAAGAAGGAACTCCTCCTCCTCCAATGTTATGGTAAGTCATTCTTTGTGTATTTAGCTTTCCCCCTCGATTTGGGGTGTTTTGCTGTGTGTGTGGTTCCATGTGGCTATGGCTGCTTTCGGCCATGGTTAAGGATTTTGCCAGAGGTAGCTTCAATTCGCTTTTATTTTGGGTTGCTGGAAGTGTGGCTTTTGGCTATGCTGACGCATGCTCCCTTGGTCGTCCTTGTATGGCTATGACTGTTGAGACCCTGGTTTTTTCTTCTAGATCTAATACTAACTTTGTTTTGTTCTGAATGTTACAGTGCACGGATCTGGTAAGCAATTGGGAAAGCCCTTTGTTTCCTAGCCCATTTTCTGTCCAGTTCTTGGTATTCCATTTGTCCAGTTCTCGATGCTACTTTATCTAGTTGGGTGTCTTCTCTTTGGGATGACTGGTAGCCTGACACTATAGTTTGCTCAGTTCTGCTCACAAGTCTGTGCGTTCCTCCAAAGCCCCTTTGTTTGCTTTTCATGTCTGTCTTGTGTTTTACTTGGTCATTCCGCGATGCCTTTTCTTTCAAATTTTGTCGCTGCTAATCTCGTAGCCCTCTCTCCCGCAGCAGCCTCTCTTTCACCCGGAGCAGCAGCAACTCTTTATCCCAGAGTGGCTCCACTGTCCTGCTTTGCTTTCCCTGTCTGGTCATGGTTAAGGATTTTTGCTTCCTGAATCTGTTTCTTTCTTTCTGTGTGGATATCTGGTAATCTCCGCATCCTTGTGGTCATTCTCACCCCTGTTTGCCCTTTGGCTGTGTTTAATTCTGTGGCCATTCCTCCATAGACTTTATTGTGCCTCTCACAGCATCAGCACCAGCAGCGGGACTTCCTCCAGCCGATTCTTAGGTGCCTGGTAAAAATGATGTCTAGGCCATAATTTTTTGTGTTAGACAAGATCGCCTGGGCCAAGAAGCTGAACGAGAACCTGACCGCAGATTTTGCTGACGATGGCACTGACTGGACAAGCCATGCGACTTTTCGGGAGCTCCATACTTCCGCTTTCTCTGGAATGGAGTAAAACATACATGTACATGGGTTGCTCACTCTTACAGAGATAAAAAGTTTCGTATCGGCCTTGAGACACGGCACTTTGGATAATGACAACCTTCCTCCAGACCACTGCTCTTGCTACTGTGGCTGGATATCTTCGGCAACTTTGGAAGAACACCTCCAAGAAGGTCGTCTTTATCAATGGCAAATGTGTCATTGACAATCCCTTGAGGACAATGTGGCTGGCTCTTTTGCTGAGCTACATAGACGACCTTCCAGCCGAGCTTTCATGCTGGGGGGTGGACCTTGAAAGTATTAGAATTTTGGATCCTGATGCTGCGGATAAATGAAGTGAGTGTTGTGGAGGATTTCAATCCTTGTCCCCCTCAGGATTTTCCAGAACTTGCTTAGCCAGAACATCTTTCAAGTACACTGGTTTCTTCCTCTCCTTCAAAGCCTTCTCTTCCTCGATTTCATCACCATTGTTATCGGAAAACTTCACCTTTGGCTTGTACATGCTGGGATCCTTCTTCTTGATCTTGGCTAGCATCTCTAAAATTAGTATCTTTGCAGCACTCCATCCTCCAGTCTTCCTCATTTGATGGCAAATTCATGTCCACAAGCTTGCACTTTCAAAGCAATGCCAATTTTGGCCTTTGCTTGAGGATAATAATTCAAAGTTGAAGAGATTAGAATACTCTTTCTTGAGCTAGTTAATTGCTATAATATAAAGACTATTGGAGGGATTTGAGAAATAAAGGAGCAAAATAGAAATATTGAACAGAAACATTGATGGGGAGACCAAAGTGATGGAAGTAAATGTAAAAAGAAATAAAATAAAAATAAAGGGAAGGAAAAAAAATTTAAAAAGTATGAAACAAAAAGGAAAAGTCTCAAATATGCAATCCTATAAACCACTTGCAGTAATAAAAGCTCAAACTCAAGATTGTTTACACTTACCACACATATGCATTTGTATAGTTATTGCTATAAAAAATGAAAACTGATTTTGTTGTTAGTACAGATGATTTTGCCACACAATGAAACTGTAAATGGCAATATGTGGCAACAAGCCAGGCAATAAAAAATAAACCCACAAGCCTTTATCAACTTTTATCATTTTGTCATTCCAGACACCACAAGCCACCCTCTGGAGGTTGTGAGTAAAGGGTCTTCCTGCCACCAAAGTAGAGAATGTGGCAGCCACCAATGCCATCTTGTCCTACCACTGTTAGAGTCAAGCCAAGTGGCTTGAGTCACATTTCTTCAATTTAAGGTTTTTAGTTTTGCTATTTTGTAAGAGCTGCTCTCTTTCTTTAGAGTGTTAGATGGAGACTCTTCACATGGTATTAGAGGCATAGTGCTTTAGACATTAGGTGTCATCTCTATCCTCTTGGAGAAATGGAGCAATGGAACAATGAATTTCTTTGTTGTAGAATTCTGGTTTATGAAGTGGGGATTTATGAGCATACCTATACATAGAAGCTGCTTAAACAAATTATGGCATGCAATTTGTAAAAGGGTGAGTGTTACTGCAATAGATTTCACTCACAATACAATGTCCATATGGCAGTTTTCTATTGGTTCGGCATTAAATGTCATTTGGATGCCTCATAGATACCCCATGGATGCTTGCCTAATGGGTCGATGATATCCCCATAATATGAATAATGTGTTCTACATATATGCCACATATCATCAAGTTTGACCCCATAACATAGGGATTCATCAGGTCATAGGGTTTAGGAGATGCTTCCTTGTCTTAGTGCCCTGCTTTAGTGCTTTGTTATTCGGCATGTTTCTTGGTAGCAAATGTGGAAAGTAACTTGGTTTGCTAGTGATTGGTTTTAAATGTTTTTATGGGTAGTGTTGGAAGTGGCTTTGATTTACTACTCGATTGCTCTCTATGGACTTTCAAATTCCTACCATGAGTATAGTTCCCTCCCTAGTTTACTTCAAATTTGTATCATTAAAGCTTTTTTTTCCAACTTTACTAGAAGACGTGGAGGAAGACAAGATGGACGGCCTTCCATCCAATTTTAGTGATTCGGATTGTGGTTCCAATATGGATAGTGACAATGATGCTCTCCTAGAGGTTTACTTAGTTTCTAGCCTCCTAAATTCATGATTTATATGTTTCTAGGCCTTCTATAATTTTTTGCAATCGAGGGGATTCAGTAGTCCAGCCGCATTTGGCACTTGGATGCACTTGAAGATCCTCGAGACTAAGACTACTGCTTACCTCGCATGCTATCTTAGAATTTCTAAGCCAACACTATACAAATACATGATCAATCGAAATTGGAGAGGTGTATATTATAGAGTACCACTCAAAGAGGCACTTCATCATGTTCAAACTAACAATGCCATGAATTGAGGTGACACAAATTGGGGGATTATCAATTCTCGATCTAGCTATCGAATTGGAGGATACTGGTTTAGCCGACGCCAGGCCTTAGCCACTCACAATCCAAGTAGACTAGAACAGAGGCATATGACAAGGATTCAACGACGGACAAGAACAAGGAGGCTTATGCACTTTGCCATGTGGATTGAGAGTATTCTTTCATTTCTGCTTTTTTGTTAACACATGTGGGAACAAGATTATTGTAGCATATTGCAAGCTTGTAAGCTATGGTTTCTATGTACATGCCATTATTTGTGGGGCAACTCATTATATTGTAGCTTGTAAGCTAGCTACCTCCAAAGAATCCTATGCAATATTCAACACATATACATAGGCTATCTGTCAATTTGGAAGGCCCAAGTGCATTTGGAGCGACAATGCTCTAGAGCACAATGAGGTTGAGAGCGACATAGTCTACTATTGGGGTCTTGCAATTAAGAGTTTCATACGTAGGACATCAACACGTAACCAGGTACTCACAGCATTAGAGTTTTTCCAAATAAGGACTAAATCAAATTTGTTTTATAGCGCATAGAGCATTTGTGGAGAGAGCTCTTTGAGTTCATGGTGTGGTTTTATAAGCACCTTTTTGAGTCCATGGAAGATATGGGAATTCTCGATGTGCACAACTAGAGTCTATGTTGTGTCTTTGCTTCGTACCTCAAGAAGCATATTTCACATTGGGTTGCAACCTGGAACCTCCATGAGGTCCATTCGTATTGATGTGATGATTACTTCAGACCATCTCATATTTCTACAAACCTATTTCAACCGATGAAATGAGAGCTTGGGTAAAAATTTTGGTAACGTTACAGAATTCTTTATAAATTGTGCTTTTGTAGAATTATGCCGGCTGTTGGTGGAAAAGATATTAAAAACGTTCCTAGACCATTTCTCTCCAATGTTGAAGGTGCAACTCTGTCAAAGGTAATCTTTAGAACAAAAATAGAACAATTTTTTTAAATCTATTTCATTGTGTTTGGCTACCTTACAGGCTCTTAGCACTGTTCAGAACCAGGCATTTTTTATGCATCGGGAGGGACTCAACTTGGACAAGCAATTGCCTACAGTAACATCGGTGAAGTGATGAGCTTTTGAAAAATTATACTTAGCCATACTCGGAGAAAATTGAGTGTTCTTTAGTATATATTTCAAATTTAAATTCAATTCTTGATTTGTTCAAATTAAGGGTTCCCACGGGATTAGGGTTTACACAAAGTCCCACCATTATTAATTGTGCCTTGGATATGGGGCAATTTCATTTTATGACATGATTTTGTCAATGGTTTGTTCATTCTTCCAATCGATTCGTGTCATCTAACCGGAGGAAAGGCTTCTAGTGCACACTCCCCTAATCGTAGGACCACCGCCCAAGCAAGAGCGCCACAGTTGTGATGGTGGGTAGCTTCTCCTCGATTAGGTTTGCATAACCAATCCCTTGTGGTTTCTAGGCTCGAAGCAAGAATGCTGCACGCCTCAATACCAATAGACACTATGCAGGAAACACCTTGTGAGCACGCAACTAAGCACTCAATGTTTTGCAATTGGTACAGCTAACAATCCTACGAGACACACGCCAACCACTTGATTTTCCAAGCTTCGCAACAAGGACATCAACTCCAACAGCATCCCATCTACAGCTCCTGACTGCATTTGAGCAAATAGAGTGCCGCCTAACATTGCATACACTACAACATATGCAAAACCTCCAGCATGTTTCCTTCTCCTTGCCTTCCTTGGAAAGTAGCAGCCCGAGTGTCTGAAACAAGCAAGTCCGGATGCCTCATGCCTACGGTGTCATCCAATCTAGAATGCTGCCACCAACACCAACTACAGGACGTGCTCATGGAACCCCATATAGTGCCACTGCTACTAGCCCCGCAACTCCACCAGCCGCTACAACTCTTGCAACTCCATCTACTGGTACAAGTGCCAGTACCTGGCCCATCTACCTCCCGAAGCAACAAGTGGTCTAGCTCGGTAAGTTTTTCATTTGTACCCGTCATTTTTCCATATGTTTTTCTACGTAGGGTGAGTTGACAATGCTGCCACACCAGCGAGCTTATAGTTCCCTATTAGCATTCCACAACTACTCCCAAGGATCAACATCATCATTTAGTGGAGCTTCGACATCCAAATATGTTCAAGCTGACACTCAAGGCGGGCTGCCATATGAGCCACAGGTATAACATGACCCCATGCACTCTTCATTTTTTTTTTCTTTGGATTTGTTTAACTCATTTTCATTTCACTGTGCTAGACTCTCTGACCACTTGTGGCTGCAGTGCACACCTAAGCTGATAACAATCGGCAGTCCTTATCTTGTCGTCATGGACATCATGGCAGTCAATCCAAAGTCATTGGTGGGATGTCATCTATGACACCTTTGGTCCCCTGGCCGTTCACCACAGTTCTTATCACCAAGTGGATTGCAATCCCGAAGACTTGGCATGCACACTTGTATGGGTAGAAAAGAGAGCCATCTGTGAAGGTGACAGAACTTGATGAGCTGGTAGTGGACCTCCCAGAGTGTCTCATATGGGGTGGCTTATACTCCAGTATTCCTTTCTAGCCCGGCACGGCCCAACATGCGATTCTACTATCACTCCAAGCCTCAAGAATCCAACCTTCATCCATGACCAACCCAGAAGCATTTGTCCAACATGCAAGGTAGTCCAATGGTGGTGAGGCCCATGCCGAGTTTGCAAAATTTGGCC